GTGTTTGATTTACATCTAGTAAGCACTGACTTTGCAACTTTTTTTAAACATAGTGTTAAGAGAAAAAAAAAAACCTGCCTCAGATATCCTAAAGTGTTACGTCCGGCTGCGAGCTGAGTGAGCACCTTGTCTCTGAGAGAGAGCCAGGTGTGCAGCTCCAAAGCATGCATGTGATGACCAGGCAGACTCTGACTCTATAAATCATGTCACCTTTCAGATATTTTCAAACAGCAACTTTCAGAAATGCACACAGCGGCAATAAAAAAAAAAAAAAAGAGAGGAGAAGGTGCATTTTAAAAGAAAAGGATTTCAACGTATTTAACACCCACTACTGCCCTCGCTCGGCCTCTGTACACCCACCTAGCTCTCCCATCTGCCATTCACAGAGGGCTTATGTTGCTGCAGTCTGTGAGGCTGAGATTATATGGAGAGAGGGTAGGAGACACAGCAAGGGAGGGTGGAGCTGAGGGGTGAGGACTGGAGGCAGGGACAGAAAGAGGGAGGTAGAAGGATTAAATAAAAAAGAAAAAAAAAAAGAAAAGTGCAGAGCGCTGAACGTGGATTCATCTAGAATGTTATCAAGGTCAGTTCACATAGAAACCGTCAGGCTGAGGGAGTCACAACACACCAAGGTGACAGCAAAGACTGATCAAATGCTTCATGTCTTCTGTGAAATCACACCACAAAGGCTACATCCAATGACAAGCTGACTGCTGACAAACACCTACGTGGAGGAAATAACTAGTCGGTAGTCTGTATTTACAATCCAGAAAAAGAAAACCAGATGGTACAGCATCTTAAAAAGATGTTCAAAAAAAAAAAAAAAGAAAAAAAATAGCCAACCATCTTCATGCTCATCTGGTGGTTAAACAATCTTTGCTGTTCTTCTGTTTGTACGACAAGAAAAGAAGAGGTGGAGGCAAACAACCAGGAGACACCACAGTAAATGGGTGAAATCTCCAGCTGAACAGACACTCGGAGAGCTCTCTTACCGACTGCCTCCACTGCAGATTTAATGTGCTGAATCATCAATAAGGGCCGACGGCTGACACTCACAGCCCTAACACTGTACAGCAAGAGTCTGACAATCATCTTTTCTGCATGTTTTCCGATAAAACTTTCAATTTCATGACTTTTACCACAAATATTTAGAAGTGTTATTCACTCCAACTTCAGTCAGGCTGGTTCCTCGCCAGCCCATAACAGCAGGCCGAGTCCTATATATGCGAATATTGCTGACTGACTGAGTGATGTGATTCAATTCAATGCCTTTATTGTCACTGCACAGTGTACAATGAAAGTACGTGTCTCCAATGCTACATGCAGTAAAGTAAACATAAGCACATACAGTGGCAAAACTACAGTAGACACATTCCGATCGAGGCGAGAGCAGAGCTGCTGCATCTGTGCGTGTCGCCATCATAACGCCCAACAATCCAACTACAGTGTGAGTGATGAAGTTACACCATTGTTTGGCTGGACGAGTGCTGGAATTTTGCCTTTGAAATTGCCCTTTCAAAATGATTTCGAACAAACAGTGTTGTCAACTTTGACAACTTAGCATCTTCGTCACTAGATTAAATTACTTTTTGGAGCCCTTTAGCTGCCTAGTGACAAATCTAGCGACTTTTTGGATAAAGCTTAGCTTCATTATTCTGTAGTGTGAGGCTGGGCTTTCCCTCCACAGGCACACCTCTCTGTGCTGACCACACAACAGCTGACGTGAACGAGCTTCTAACTCTCTCAGTGATCATTTTACAAGTAAATATAGCCGAAATCACAACACACAGCTGTTGTCTTTAACTTCTATATTTGGTGATTTTGTCAGACACCGTTGCAGTTATAAAATTAGGATATTAGCAGGGCAGCAGCTTAGAAATGGTTTGGAAGTGACTGCTGGTTAACATGCAGTCTTAATGGGCTGCGTTTCAGTCACTATTTCAAACTTGTTCTGTTGTCTGAAAACAGAAACAGGAAAACATATAAATGAGAACAGCTTTATCACAGATTCGTATTTGTGAGAACAGAGACTAGGAGAGAAGCAAAAAGATAAAGAAGTGAAACGATCTGACACAAGGCAGAATGCAAATACGACGCAGTCCAGCCATTTGATCTAGTCTTGTTTAGTTCAATTTGTGTCTTGCATTACTGTTAAATGCTCCTCTAAAAATGTCAACTTTATTGCATTTGGAAAAGTACAATGTTTCAAGTCCAAAGTAGCTCTTGGTCATGTGCAAATTGAAATAAAAAATTCCCCTTTGTCTTGACTACGTTGCAATGCTGAAAACCACCATCTAATGCAACAGACTCAAACTACTTTGCAGTATGGTGCCGTAATGTGTCCTATTTGTAAAATTCACCGACTTCCCCCGAGAACAAAATCCCTGACCTTCCCCTTCTTAAGTAAACCTGTTTTTCGTCCTTTTGTGGCATTGAGAAAGACAAACTTTCAGATAAAAGATGCAACACAGAGTCTGTTGAAACAACCTGAAGCCTGATATGTACTCTCAAAACACTTCAACCAATGGTCAAGTATCATTCAATTCTTCTTAATAGATTTGTCTGAAGTTATTCTGCGTGTGTTGTCATTGTAGATGACGTGAATAAAGACGCTGTGAATGGTTAGCTGGACAGGTGAAACCTTTCTTCTCACCTGTATGACTCTTGTGTGACTCGTATCGTTCGTGTTTCTCTGACGATGTCTGATTTCAAAAGCGCAGCAATTAAAGTGAAGTCTTATCAATGTTATTATTACCATTTTATAATTTGCAGGCAGGCTGGTGAAAAAACGCAGCACTCACTGTAGAAATTGTCCCAGACTGACACAGCAGAAACACTGTCGTGGGGTGGCACACTCTTCTATCTGCATCACCAAAGTGCATCATATTGCTCACTCCCCCACGGGCACATTAATCCTCTTGTTGACTCTGCACCTGTACCAGCACGGGCCTAACTTCTCTATGATCAGTGCCGTCTACACAGTCAGAACTGTGTGCGCACACTTATAACAGGAACAGCTGTGTCTGTAGCTTGGTTGGGTGCCTCCCTGCCCGTACCCAGGATGCAGAGCTGCCGACCAAGCGGGGGAAGCTGATTGTGTCGATGGCTGATTAGAGAGTCCCCGAGGTGGGGTGGGACTAGTGCATCCTCTGCTCGTCTAATTACAGACTTAATGAGTCCTTAGCTTTAGTCCAAGCGGCCAGAGAAGCCTCCTGAGAGGGTCTGGCAAGCCAGGGCTCATAAATCACCTTTTACTTTGCCCTATCCCACCCTGCACACAGAAGTGTACACACATACACGAGCTGTGTCACGGAGGTTGGTCAGGGGTGCAAAAGAATATTAAGGGTCGAGATGACTTCTGCCTGATGACTCCTGTTTGAGCTGGGATACGTCCCTTGCGATCTACCTTGTCAAGACAATGCACAGAGGACCTCATCTATCTTGAACTGAGTCTACAGAAAATCTAATCCTGGCCCACCTTCATCATATCCTCAAGTGGATGGATTAGCAACAGAGGGGAACCTGGAGGGCAGTGAGAGCAGGACAACATGGAGGGGCAATGCATTCACTTTGCATAAGAGCAGTGATATTCTTAGCTACAGAACAAAGGATGGTGATTGTGAATAATGCGGGTTAATTTCTATTATGTCCTGCATTTCCATTTTTCTGTGTGATCTATGAGAAGTCCTGTTGCCATTCTACCACGTCAACATTTCCATTAAAACCCAGTAACGCTACAATATCACCAACTGGAATTTCTTTGAATGTGTCTTAAACATTTGCAAAAATCGACACAGTCAAATACTTGTACACTAACAGTAGAACATTAGTCAAATCTATGAAAAAAATTGGTTTAAAACTATTCAAATAAACTGATGTATGTCAGCAACTGATGATTATTTTACTATCTACACTGCTGATTATGTTCTCAATCAATCAATTCATTGCTTTGCCTGTGAAATGTGAAAAATGTCCAATGTAATTTCCCAATGCCCAAGGTGATGCCGCACCAACAGTCCTAAACCCCAAAATATTTTGTTACAATATACGACAAAGAAGAGCAGATAATCCTCACATTTGAGAAGCTAAAACCAGTGAATATTATTAAAAATGAAATAAATTATTAAATGACTAATTTTGTTGATCAACTCATTTATTTTTTCAGGTTTAAAATAATATATGTATACATTTTTTCTTTTTTTAAATCACTTGAGTCTAAAAATGTCATTACTTGTATACAAAGGCAGACCTGGAGTAAACACTCTGAAATCTAATTAAACAAGTTATGTTAAATAAGCCTTATCCGAAGCCGACTCTAATCAAAGAGGGAGAAAATCAAGGCAACATTTGGCTTACATGAAATGACATGATGACTGAAATGTTTTGTCACATGTGAAGGCATGCTGTAACTCTTTACTATCAAGTGTGTTCTGCTGATTTAATAGGCATGCAAGGTGGGTTTTTCTGCAGTGAACTTGTGTCATCAGTGGGTGGACTTAAAAATCAGTGATAAGTTCTTCCTCTGTATATGTGAACACTGGTAAAGTGAGTAATATGAATATTGTGGAGTCTCAAAGTCTCTGTGTATCAAATCTAAGTGACTTGTAACTCTATTACAGATCTGTGATGTGACTCTCTTGTAATATGATTCCTCTCATGGAGAAAATTTATAAAAGACATAGACATGGGGAGGGTTATGAGAGCTGGAATGTGACATGAGCAAAGTCACTTTATTAGTATCATAACCTGAAAGCACCAATACAGGTCTAAAATGTTTAAAGTCTACTAACATTATGTTGCACTTCCTTTGCGATGCAATGTGGTGCATTTTCATGTGATGCAGTTTCTTTGCATGTAGGCTGCATAATGAATTTGCATAGCAATAATGGTTCTGGTGTTCCCTCTCATGTGAATGACAAATTGCAGTTCTGAAAATAGGTTAGAACAAACCTCAGATGGAAAAGTGAAAGCTGAATGTAATGACAGACATTTATCCTTACCTGTAATGTACATGTGTGACTGTAGGAGGCCTGTAGCCAAAGATCCAGGTCTGAATGTCCATGGGTCTTGCTTTAGGGTAAGCTATGGTCACGTCTATTACCCAATGCAGGCCTTTACGCTTGTTACCTGTCATGGAAGAAACACAAATACAGAAAGAGAGTTGACACACAGGGAGCTAGCTAAAACATACTCAAACTTAGCCTTGTATTTTAGGTATATGCCGTATTCCAATAATCATCACAGTGACAGTCTTCTTGTTTAACTCCCACACAAGCCACAAGGTCTTAGAGGTCAAGATGAGTCTCCAGCACAGCAGCCCAGCAGCTGGTAGAGAGTCAATTCCATCAACCTGCTCCTCCATCTTAAGGACAGTGTCTGTAACTAGTATGTGGATATTTTCATATCATAGCAGTGAAGCCAAATGAAGGATGGATACCTGCCAAAGTGGCTGGTGGAAGACCAAGCACCAACTTGACAGAATTTGGCTGGCAGCTACACTTATGAGTCACAGTGAAACTAGAATTACTACCTCGTAGTTGTATGCCTCCACCACTCAGACTAGTTTCAGGATTTAATCCCTGTTTATCCAGAATCATAAAAAAAAAATTTGTTTGATTTGAAACTCCTTTGTTTGAAATTCAGTTATGGAGTTATGGCTAAAGTGTTTTGTGCAGTCAATCTGATCTTGACCTTTGACCACCAAAATCTAATTAGTTCATCCTCGAGTCCAAGTAAATGTTTGTGCTAAATTTGAAGAATTTCCCTCAAAGTGTTACAGAGATATTGCGTTCCCGAGAATGGGACAGATGGACGGACAGACGAAAACATAATGCCTCTGGTCCTGGCTGTCGCCCGCCATAATGAATGACTATGAAAGTGTACTTTCTTGTATTTTGTTATTCCAATTTATTAACTATAATTTATGAAAGGGTAAGACAGACAGACAATGTGGAAAAGGAGAGAAGGGGGAATGAGAGAGGAAGGCGAAAGATGACAGATGGGAGAGGGAGTACTAGACACGTGATACAGTTTGGGAGTCAGCTGTGGGGCGCATGTGAAAAACTATTTATGTACGTTATGCAGGGTCAGCACTTCACTCACCTGCACATACGCAGACAGAAATAAAAGAAATAAATGAAAAGACGGACATGATGAGGCTAATGTTTCTTCTCTACATTAAATTCCTTGTCTGTTAATAATTCCACAACTGCAGGACGTTGACACAAACATACATGTGTGAAATATGCCGCGACTTTGACTCTAAGGATGCAGTGACTTTCCACAGACAGTCAATGTGTGTCATTACTGGGAGGGGTGAATGTTGAGAAACATACAAGAGGTGACCGACCAAACAGCACTGCGGAGTGCAAGGCATATTTCTTCATTATAAATGGAGGCTTCACGTTTCCCACTGCATTTAGCAGCTAGTCTAGACACGTACCAGATATGTTTATTTCCTGGAAACACAGAGATAAAACTGATAACAACCTTAACATCTGACAGTGGGTTGTGACAGCAAACAAGCCGGGGAGCGTTCCTTTAAGGTGACGACTGCACGAGCTTGTCAAATGTGAAAGGGAGAACACCAGCAGCCTCAGTCAGTAAATCTGAAATGAAGCTGATCTGAAGCAGTGCAGTGTCTTTGACTGCTTGACTAATGTCCCAGCCCTGCTATTACTATAGAGCAAGCACCCCCCACTCTGAGCACACTGGTTTCTTTATGTTAAGTAAACATGCCATGCCTGCGTGACAAAGCGAAGCTACATTTTTTACAACTGACAACAGCGCCTTTACATTACACCTTGTCAGGGTCAACAGCAGTAAAACAGAAAACGTTGTTAACAAGTCATAATTTCAACCCTTTCACACACATAAAATAGTGGAAATGAGGAGCACGGGGTGAAAGAGTGCGACAGAGATATTACCAAATGAGTGGAGTTTTATAAACACAGAGTTCCTTTGATTTAGGTGTACAATGTTGCCTGATTTACTCACCAGCCTTTACAGGCTTGCTGTGTTTATACTCACGCTCTTGCAAAGTATTACTAACCCTCTAAGAGGAAAGACTTATGTAGAACAGGTAAGCGCACTAAATCAAATAACAAGTTGGAAGCTTAGTGTTGGTGACACTTAAATTATGTGACCCTAGTGTACTTTGTTTATATCCCAACATTAGCTTTTCACTTCTGGTGATTGTATTTAGGCTTCAAAAATCATAAAAGTGCTGATCGTTTTATGAAAATTATTTTGCTGAACAAAACGTTTAATTTTGTGCAATAATTCAAAAGCCAACGAACAAATCTCACTGGTTTTTGGTCGAGGGAACCAAGGTGATGCTAACTTCTGGGTTGGACTACAAAAATACATCATCCCTGCAGCACTCTATAGCAGTTGCAATTTAACTGACATTGTTACATCCACTATTTTGTCAGATGTGTAACCAGGCAAATATTGACATGAAACAACTTTTTGATTAAATGAGAAAATTATAAACAGATTAATCGATAAAAATAATTGTTAGTTGGAGCCCCCTTCACTTGTCACTATTCTAATTTCAATTTTACAACACTTTTGGTTTAATGCTTATTTATGATATTGTTTTTTGATTTGCAATAATAAAATTTGTTGCCAAATACTGTTTTAACAGTTTCACAATTGCATCCAGTAAAACCTAAAAATGCCAGCCTTTATTGTGTGTTTTGCTTACTGCATAGATGTACACCTACACACACACACACACGTAATGAGGGCAGAAACCCATGATAGACACCAGACCTAAGAGTGCACACCTCTGTTTGCGTAGTGTAAATCTGTTTGAGAACTTTAACTCCAGATAAAGGAGCCAGAAATACGCAGGTGAGGGACAAGCTGCTGGCTTATTCATACCAATGTTACAGTGACTTGGTAGGCAGTGGTACTGATGGGAATGGCTACCACCAGAGCTATCCCTGTGTGTGTAATTGGATCCAGATCTCTGTCCAAGTGTGCTGAAAGGCAGCCATCGTCTCCTGTGTGGCCAGCCAAAGAACAGGGCCCTGATCCAAGGTATCGTCAGTGCCCTTTACACCGTGACAAACAATACTGTAATAACAGCAGTCGTGGTAATTTAAAATGACATCAGAGAGGCCCTGTCCTTCTGTAAACACTTAGAGGAAGGAAATACACTGGCAGATATCTGGCTCTCTATCAGGCCACTCTGCGGGCCAATTACAACACTTCAAGCCCACACTTGTCCCTCCTACAGACTAAACTGTGGGTAAAAACAGTCTCTGATTGGTCGGTGCTATGAAACATGTTTACCTGTGGGTCATATGGAACCTCATTCACACCCTACATGACTCACAGCTTTGAACTTTGCTTGCCTGCCAACTGTTTTATAACATATATAAACCTTATCAGTCTTAGCTGCAAAACGGAGCCTTTCTGCAGGCTATGAAGTACACTGTCAACCATTGACCCATGTGCTTTGTATCTGTGCTGAGCAGTGTATTTAGCCCGGGTGACATTGCATGGCTGATACACAGCGGCATACACATTTACATCAAATCCTATTTTCTCCAAGTGGCCCATTTGTCTGTGTGAGTCAGCAAGCTCTGGGCACCTCTGCAGAGCATCAGGGAGGGTCAGAGGGAGACAGAGCTGTGTCTTTGATCAACCACACACACACAAACACACACAACACACACACACATACACACGATAGTGAGGGACATAATGCTCTTCTGGGTACGTGTGTTTTTTTTTGCCCTAGGTTTTAATGCCATTAGCTAGATTCAAGTGGAAGGACAAGCCCTACTGCAGCAACCAGCTTCCCCTCCTCCTGAGCTGCAGGAACAGAGGAAAGGACACAGGGACATGTACATAAAGAATGAACTGGGATATAAACTGGAAGTACAGTACACAAAAGCAGTGAAACCCATAATGTTCAATTAGAAAAGACTAATACTGACATGTCTAAAACCTTAAAAAAAAAAATTTCCCCTTCCTGTCAGAGGTTACAAACAAAACGTCTGTGATCATCAGTGTTTGTTGACACTGATGAGATGGTTAAAGACTTTGTGCTAAATTAGCAGACAAGCCAAAAACAAAAAACTGCACACACAGCACATACTTTAGCACATAAACAGCACTGAGCTTGTTGTATCTAAATTTTACAAGGCCAATTAAGAGATACTCCTTTGGTTTGACAGTCCATCCTGCAGAGGGATAAACAGACGGCATTTTGTCGTTAGTGCTGAGGCTGTTGGACACAGAGCTGTGTTAGCAAACTCAAGGAAGGCTCAAATCCCTGAACCACATTCCCAATAATGCTGGCTAAAGTCTCTCTGAATTACTATTAACACAGCACACTCTTAAAATGGATTTTGAACCAAAGCCAGGAGAGTCCACTGGGTAAACTGAGTGTGCAGTGTGCACAGGAATGGGGGAATCATTGTATCTCTATGTTTATGGCCATTTTAATGCCGTGCTGTTTTGCTGAGGATGGTTCCAAGAAGGAGGTTTACTGAGTTATCTGGGTAATTTTGCTGAGTAAAACCCTGAACAGGTATTTTTTACATTAGTCCACAGTCTAGATTTAAGGGCGTACTAACCCTCCTTTTGAAACAAGGCCCTGATCCAGGTAGTTGAAAAAACATTCAAACTTTTGTTCATCAAATTCAGCATAAGAAAATTCACACTAATTGCACTTTATGTGGGCACATGAATTCTTAACATTCCTATATCTTGTGGTCATGTCATTAACGTATTTTGGGAGAATATGTTTAATCATAAGCAGAATTTTAGGTTATGAGATCCCTGAGGACAGCACGTTTTTGTATCTTGGATTGATTAAAAATGTAAACTGGTATAAATGGAATTGCACTAGGCTAAGATAATGGCATAGTAAGGGATGTATTTGTGAGAGAAACATGACGTTGCATGAGACGTTTCCCTTGGGCAATAAGGGCAGACCATCCCCAGAAAATGAGATGAGTGGATCACCTGCACAACAAAAATAGAATAAAAAATGTGCACCTCACTTGGTCTCCATACCGTGTTGTTTGTTTTCTCTTCTTTTGTAAAACATCTTTAAATTGTTACAAATAAAGTGACAAAAAAAAAAGAAAAAAAAAAGAAGAAATTTTCAATCTCAAAGCTTGTTAATTGCAGAGCGTCTTCCCGCTCATTGGCTGAATTTAGGGCTGGTCTCTAGACAGAAAAATTACTCTTCTGCAAATCACCACTGTGGTTTCAGGGACCTTGATGCAATTTCTGGCACCTCTGTGCATGTCACCCCTCTCCTCTCCCGGCAATCTTTACCACCAGTCACCTTTCATTTAAAACAGGATTCCCAGAGGACAGTGGGACACAGAGGTGATGATTTAACGCTTCATGTTTGAAGCATGCTCCATCCCTGGCCCTCTAGCTAACATTTGAGCAACAACTATAGCGCACACTACAGCTGGACAGTTCACAAAGACTGAAGTACACTGAAGAAAGAAAAAATAAAACTGACTTCCCCAGAAATAGCATTCTACTTTTTGAGGCCCACAATCCTCAATGAAAAAAAAACACAATCTGCAACTTCAAACAACACCTTCAAATCCATCACATCACAAAAGGCTGAATAAAACATACTCAAAATCAGTTTCAACATTTCAAGTGAATGACTGCTACTCTGAAAATTCGGTCTTTTTATGGGATTGCTGTTGATTTGTAAAAGTTCTCCGAGTGAAACGTGTTAGAGAGCAGCAGCTAGTTTGCTGAAGTGTGCTGTCACACAGTACTGTTTCATTTTAAAATGTTGTTATATTGAAAACTGAAGAAAAGGAGGCGTTCTGGAGTGACCTGTCATTATTCTGGGATCAATTCTCAAGTTCAGGATGCAGGAATTTAAAAAAAAAAAAAAACACTTAAAAGGGTTAGGATTTCTATAGAATGTTTGTTTTTAGAAGTGAACAAATAAGAGCTTATTTATAGATTTTAAGAAGCTGGAAAAACATGACTGACTTGTTTATTTAGCTATTGTGCAGTTATGTCCTTCCCTTTTCAAGCCAATCCTGCTCTCAGACCCCCGCTCCTCTGTGCCTCTACATCTCCAGGTTTTGGATTGTTTGTCATTTTACTCAACCATACACTTCTTAGATTATTTTTTTATAACTAATATTTTACTGGTTCAACCTTTTATAAAAAGGGACAAATAAGTAAAAAAACATTTATAGAAGCAAAAGCTTCATATATTACTGATTGAGCTGCTTATCCTTTTGTGGTAAATGTTGTTTATGTTTTAAAAATACAACATACAATGGCATTTAAACCTGGCTTATTTCCCCTCCTTGTCACATACTTTAACACTGAGTTGAGCCAAAGACACTTCCTTGTGGTTTAACCCTCTGATTTTGCCTAATTTTTGCTGACTTTCTATGTGTTCATTTTTGTCTTTCAAATCCTAAATATATAAAAAATTGTACCTATAAACTTACAAATCTTCATCCTTCTTTTGAGGGATTCTGACTAAAGTTTTGGTGTGTTATGTGTTAAGTTACCTGTCTGGTTTGGGGTCCCGGTCTCGCTGCCCACGCTGCCGTTCTCCTGCTGGGCGGACAGGGTTTTCAGGATGACGTGGGTGGCCCCGAGACGAGGCAACGTGACGTGGGTCAGGTGGGGGAGCGAGTGCTTCTTAGCAAATAACTGGCTGGTTTCCCGCCGCTTGCGCAGGAAGCCACCCTCGGGGAACAGCACTATCCACTTCCTGTCACGGCTGTGGTAGTATTTGTCTAGGTGATCTTTCAGGTAGACCAGCTGCTTGTCTCTGTGAGCTTTACCCTGTAGGAACAACGGAAAAATACATTCAGACAACGTAACACAACATCACGGTTCAGCTAATAATTTGGTCACATATGGAAGATTTCAGTGTGGTCACAGCTGTGTCAAGCCACTATTAGTTTAGAAAAGGTAGAAGCTAATTCTTAAAGTGCCATCATTTCTCAGAGTTGGAAGGTATTTAAGTATCCCGAACAAACAAAGCAATTGAAGCTAAATGCTAAATTCATTAACTTCATTAGATGGAAGGTTTTGTCAGCAAATAAACAAATCCGAAGTTAGCTGCAGTAACACTGTGGGGCACTCAGAGAAACATTAATGGCACGACTGAAATGGATGCAAAACCTGATGGCCTTGATAACATTAAGAGCATTAGCAGTGATGGGACGAGGAGGAGTGGGATTGATTTCTAGTTAGGCCTGGTCAAAAGCTATTCTAAAAGCATTAGCAAAGCTGGGCTGGATTCTGTGTGTGTGTGTGTGTCATGTTAGCACACGTGTGTTTGATCTATGGAGCTGTATGTAGTAAAACTGCTTACAACACTACAGATTTATTGGCAAAACAAAAACTACTGAAGAACTATTCTTAGCTGCTCTGCTTTAAAAACACGGAGAGAGCGAGAGAGCGTGCGAGAGAGAGAGATCACAAACTTATACATGACCTCAAGACTGTTCTGATTTTACTCTAGCTTTAAGAGCCAAGTGGATTGAAGGAAATATACTCAACTATGTGTCTGTAAGAGTCAGACTGTCAGTGTAGTGGGGAGAAGGAGAGTTACTTCTCCTGCTTTCCCAGTGTCAGAAGAATATCCTTTCTTTTTAAATGAATAGAATGGTGTCTTGCATTTGGATTCAACTGTATTATCACTGGGTTTATCCACTCAAGGTCTCTGATGTTAGGCCACCTGTTTCTCAAGCAAACAGCTTTATTGCAGCCACGCTCCCACATGCTTTAGTCAAATGGAACCAAGGATATACATAGATACAGACAGAGTGTGCATGCAGTAGCCACTGGTCAGGGGATAATCACTGCGAACATTTACTAGATGCAGAGGTACTTTATTAGCACAATGTCTTTGGATCAAACACAGCAATGCTTTAACTTTTTTCCTGTTGCCTGCTGCCATTTAACAAGTAAAAACTATCCTGGATTTTCTCTACATCAAAGCTGTTAATACTCACTAGACCACTATTAGATCCCATTCTTATAATTTCTTCTTGTAAGAACTTGTGTTTATCACATGTTGGCCAGGTTGGCCGCTGGTCACTGATGTGATGATTTTGAGTGTATTAAGAATATGAATTCTTACACGTTGTGGGTTTGAAAATCCTTGAATAATGCCTCTAATTTAAGGTTCTTCTAAGTTTTAAAAGGTTAAGCACACGTGTGCTCCCAGAAAAAGTGTAATTAAAACCCCATACCATAAGTAACTGTGTGACTGCCATCAAAAGCATGCTGTGTTGTGCTGTGCATAATGATGCTGGAGACATGTCTGCCAGCCTGAGTGGTCACCAGATGCTTGGGAGGCTGGGGCAGATGCTTGCTGTGCTGTGTGGACGTGTGAAGTATTCTGGGGAAGGATGTCAAGAATGCGCACACTTGAATGCCAGAGGGGAATCACGCAGGGAGGAAGATGGCAGAAATGAGTGAGCCTGCTCAGGCCTTCCACTTTAGCAGGCTCATGGTGCTTCACCCTCGGCACAGTGCCTGATGTGAAATTCCATAGCGAAGCATTTCCATGACCCAAAAAAATTGAATTCCCTCTTGCCATCGCGTTTCTACAGCTCAAAAAAAGTGAGAGAGGATGTGTGGGCTTTTTCATTTATCTTCAGACAAAATCAAATATGGACAAACACGTGTCGTTATTAATGGTGGCAACCCATCAGCAGTGCTGTCCTTTAATAAGAAGTAATGATATTTTTAAACTTTTGTACTGTTTAGCCCCATAGAGAAAACATGACCACTGAGAAAACAGATCAGCTCTTTACCAACATCTACAGCATCAAATATTTAAACTGGTGTATTTTGTCATACAGTGGTTTGGGCTGGGTGAATATTTTAAGTGCATACATTGTAAAAACAAAAGTTTGAACAAAAGTTTATTTTCAGTCATAAAGTAACAAAGATGTTGTCTGGCTTCATTAGCTGTCTTGAGTCACCACAGCACTGTACACTGCGACTCGAACAGTCACACTATATGCATGCACCTGCTACAGTCCGGAGGACTGTCGTGACTTTAAAAAACAGCCCCACTGAGGCTAGTAAGCTAATGCTAACTAGCAGCTGTCTGCAGATATCAGACTGATGTCACAAAGCACAAACAGAAGAAGCAGATGAATTAGTGCACGCTCTTCTCTGCTTCACCTGTGCTGAAACTGATCATTAAAGTGAATGTCTGTACTGTACTTAGTTGAGGAGTCTGATATTAACAGTCCATTGCTGTGTGGTATTTTCAAATAGTCATAACAATGAAAGCCTTGCACTGTTGCAGGTGCTTCATTATTCTTTCACAACTGTCTTCAGCATTAAAGCCTATGAAATGTTATGACATAATTTTCCTGTATTTTGCAGGAAAATAAATTGATTAAAATTGTGAACTGACCCTGAAAACAAACAAACAAAAAACAAGATTACATTTTTCCCCATATTGCACAGCCCAGCTCATACAGTTATTACAAATGATTTGTGAGAGTGGATTCACCCACTTGTATGATATTCTGTCGATTAATCTATCAATAATCAAACTCTAAAACTTGCATATTTCAGGTATTTCCTGACCCGTAGGAGCCCTGTAGGCTCCTTGTGTAGGTGTGTCGGAGCTGGCTGCTCTGTTCCAGCTGCCCTCACAACAAAGGGTCAGTCTGACCCACTGGGGCTGAGCAGCCCTCCCACACGTCTGTCCACAGCCATCATCCCTCTCAGTCTTACCTGTCTGATGAAGAAGTCCCCATGGATCAAGGACACTAGGCCAAAGTTCGTGTATTTGAACACATGGTCCATCAACCACATCATTTTTCGTACCACCTGAAAAAGAGATACAATAACATCTGTGACAAACCCCACACAAATTTTACTCAGTCCCACATTTTCCTGTAAGCAGTAGCACATGACTGTGGCTTCGGTGCCAGTGCCCCAAACTGATACTGCCCCCTCTGAGCACTTCCACCCTCATGACCTGCACCGATGCAGCTTTGGCTTACTGTCCTTTCAGTGCTAAGAGGATAAACTGGGCCAGGGATGCAGTTGTTGAGGCGGATCATGTCATCATGTCTGTGCAGTTCAGCTCGGCAACTTCCAGTGCAGTGGCAGCCGCAGCCAAAAAACAAACACACATCATCACAGCTACACACACCTTCCAGCAGGACAGCAGGCTGCATGGTTTGAAGATGTTGTCAAATCAATAAATCTTTATGTGAAAAGTGTCAGACTGGACAGCTAATGTGACTTTTCTCTCTCGATATTCTATTTTCAACTTCACTTCTGCTGCCAACAATCTTCTTCCTGAAACACAACCTTGTTCTGTATGTGAAAAATTGACATCAAATTATGTATGTAATATCAACCTACGCAATTACGCAAGCAAATATGAATGAATAATATCAATAGTAAAACATAGACTTATTAACACCTCACGGCATGGCTTGAGGTGTTACAGGCTGCAGTCGAACCCTCCTTAGCTGATGACTTTCCAATCAGTCGTCATGTTCAAACTAAACATATGATATATAAATATAAACTAAAGATATGCTTCAAATAATAACTTTTCTCTTGCTTGTGGTCGTATTACCACACAAAGCCAGTGTCCATCCCCCAAATAAATTCTCAGAGAGAACAAAGTTGTAAAGGCACATAGTAGTGTGGATGAGATATATCAAACCTTTCCAAAATTATGACATATGCCTTTACAAACACAGCTTCAGTGTTTAGGTACAGTGGAAATCTTAAAAATCCAACTCTCTCAGCTTTCACGGCTCCAATTCTGTCTCTAATGACTTATTTCGTATGTCAATATGTCTATTTACACAATATAGAGTTTATCATTGATCTGTGTTTGTTTATGGTGCCAGACATCTATGTGAACTCTGTGGGTGTGCATGGCGTGTCTTCTCCAATGAAAAGTAGTTGCGTAAAATCATCCTAGTAGTAATCCAATTATCCAATAGTATCCTTTTGAAAAAGAGTAAGGTGTGTGTGGACTGTTGCGTGGACATGTTTCGCTGCCACACCTGTTGACAATAATCTGTATGAAGGAATGCAAAGCAGCCACCACTCGGATCTTTACACATCTGTTGTTGGCTGCCTGACAGACTTCAATTCACATTTTGTAATTTGAATGCAGCAAACCGCAGCACTGCTTCACGCTGCTGAATCTCTCTACTGACTCGACTGTTGTCACACACACAAAAAAAAAGGTATTATCTCATTACTCTCTCCTGTTCTACACAAAACACTCCCTCCTCCTCTGGGGACGACCAAAAAGTCAGTATGTGAAATGGACAAAACCACTGAGTATAAAAAAATAAATAATAAATAATAAATAATTAATTTCATTAAAAAATGACTGAATTGAACAGCAGAACTTGATAACAAGCAGTGTAAGATAATCAAAAGAGGAACTTTAATTTGAACTGAAACTTGCTCTTATAAACAATTTCCTTTGTGCAAATATCACTTGGCTAAACAAAATGACAGCTGAGACACTGGCTAACCTTTGACAAACATCCTTAAAACAAACATATTTAACTTGGGCTGAAAGGGTTTTTAGATCAATGTGTACCATTCTACATGAACTCCTTATTTGAAGTAACAAAGAAACACAAAAATGCTCGGAAAGCATCCTGTCCAGTAAAATACAGAGAGTGCAAAGTGCCCTGCAGGCTCAAACTTCTGCACGGCTTCAAGTTACACTGATGTCACCCCAGTTCAACCTTAACATTGTTATATTCTTGGATTTCCTAAAAGAGATACAATGAGGCAACACATCTCTCTCTATTCTTACCGTGCCCTTGTCTTGCAGGCACATCATGAGGGTGCACACATCTCCTGTGGACTGGTGGTTTACGATGACCATGGCTTCCTCTTCAGAGATGGGCCGTACATCGTCACCCCACTCCGTTACTGCAAGGCAAAATAAATAAGACAAATTTTGGTTAAACAGGCTGTGTAAATAGTTTCTTTTAAAAGTGCCCTGTGGAGTTTTCTTAAAACAATGTTTCTGTTTACACTCAGTGTTTGTCACTAAAGCTCATTGTGTCAATGTCTGAGGTCTAACAAGCACACTGACTCCACTTCATCATGATGAAGGCCACATTCCTCAGTTTGCTTTGAGATGAATTATCTATCTATCTATCTACAAGCTGAAATGCACTGGTCTCACCAACTACAAATGTTGCTGGAAGCTTGACTTCTTCAGATTTGTCACCTTTCACCAATTGTTAAAAATATTTTACTCATGCATTGTTTCACATGCACATTTGCTAGCTAACAGCCGCCTTCTTCTTCACTGCTTTTGTTGGTGCAGTGCTACATTTCTTGGCGTGTTATGGACACCAACTGTTGATCAGTGAAATAGTATAAAACCCTGAGCAGCAAACTGCACTGTGCTGCCCTTGTGCTTGTGTGCACTTGCATCATCCTCATTACTCCATAGAGATCTCAGGGAGTGCACACCTCTTCCAGGTTAAACACTCCAGTCATGTTTGGGGGAGAAAAATAAAACTTTTCTTTTATGTTTATCTAGATCTGTGTCAGCCAGATGTTTTTTTCCATTTAAGTAAGTGTTCATAATAAGTGAGCTAAAAAACACTACACTGGTGTAATGTTTAATTTTGAAATCACTTCACTGCATCTGGATTTGGTTCCAAATCAAAAAAACCCAAAAGTTTATTGAAAACTATTAACAAGGCTTTAAAAGTTTATATGCAAAGTATGAAATACACAACAGGGACAAAAACACTCTGTTCTTAAGGCAACAAGTTTGCTTTAAACATCAGAGTGAGAGGTGTGGTTCACTCCATCAACACAGTTAGAAAGGAGTGACTTTAACCATCTATGGTATACATACTGAAATCCGGTTCGTCTTTCTCAAGAGTGTTACATCTTTTAAAAATGTTGTCTCTTGTTCTTAAATCCACAAATATCCTGACACTGACTTACAGCTGTCTGATCCACATATCCTCTCTGCCTTAATCAAAGAGCAAAATAATAGTAAGTAATAGTAGTAAAGCAATCTCCATGCACCTACCTACTCTTATGGGGTTGGAAAAACATTTTCACTTTCCTGTTAATGTGGCCAAATGAGTGTCAGGCCACTTCCAGAGGCGGTTGCGAATTTTTACAACGTTGGATTAATCATCACTAAACATGTTCATTAATTGGTGTGAAAAGGGAATAAAAAAAAAAAAAAAAAGGTGCTTCGACAGAGAATGAGAAAGGAGAAGTGAGTTTCAGGAAACGGTAACACAATCACTTTCACTATTGGCCACCGAGCAGCGCAGAGGAAACTGTCCAAAAAAAAGAAAAAAAGAAAAAAGGGGATGGTTTGTAATTTTATGACATAGTACACAGACTTTCAAATTCTCTGACCGTCTGAGCTTTCATTACTTCAGTGAACTCTCATATGTGGTTTCTGGTGCAGCCACCAAGTGTAGGAAGGAAGGAATATATTTGAAAATAAAGAAACAATGACAACACAGGCTGAATATCTAACAACTTGTAATCAAAATCAATATTTCAAAGTATTACATTGATTTTGAAGTATATCAATGTTAGCATTTATCCTGCATTATTTGAGAAGCATTAAAACCAACTTATTATAACAGAGAATTTTTTATGACATTCTGGCTTATCAAATTAGCTGTTACATTATTAGTTTCCAGAGTCACACAATTATATTTTCCTTACAATGACTAAATGTACCGAACTACCTTCAAGGATACAAAATATTGGTATAAACATCCCTACTTGATATCTGAAGTTGCACTTATGCACTCATTTCTTTTTTTAGGCAGCATTAATTTATTTTTAGTAAAGAACAGGTACTGCGGGTACTTAACAAAGATTACAGTCTGAATATCCTCAGTTTAAAGACGTAATCATCAGGCTTTGTGTCAACACATAACATTAACGGCAAACTAGTTGGTGTGGGAGCTCCCTGACTGTTATAACATTTTGGATAAGCTGTAGGTTAGGTCTACATCCTGCTACAAAAGGAGCTCGGGCATATTTGCATGTCTACAATCCATAAATAATGTTTCCCACTTCAGTGAAACAACATAAGGTGTCCATGTGCAGCTGAGAACAGAACCAGCGCTTTGTTCGCTGTCAAAGAGATAAAAATAATACAAAGCAAAATATAGCTGCGAGCTGCAGTTCTTTGGGCCAAGTAGAGTCACGTCAAGCAGGGAACACTGCAAACACACACAGGTACAGAGGTGTTATCTACCCACAGAACAATTTTGATCAGACAAAATTTTGTGGATATATGACTCGTTTCCTGTTCTTGTGACTTCACTGCCAGTTTCTTTCAAATGTCACAGCCAAATAGTTTGGATTAATAAAATTAAGGCGAGTTAAAAATCAATTATTGGTCAGTCATATATGTCAATCACAGTTTACAGTCTTGTGTCCATGGCGTACTGAAGGAAGAGTGGGCTTGTCATGATTGAAATGATCCAGCCACAACATGGGGTCTGGCTTCAGATGAAGGCGCATTGACACTAAATGAGTACACAGAAAAATCACACAAAACCTTTCCTCAAAACTTACACGTGAACATTCAACTAATTATTTACACCTCTAAGACAGTAAGACTGACATGCAAGAGTGTAAAGATTAACAAATATGTATGAGAAAACTGATTCAATAGTCAATGATACAGTATGGCTACACAGATATGACCCAAATTCTACGTGAAAGTCAGCAAAAATCCATAAAGCAGTCAAAAAACAACTCTGCCGAGGAGCTCTTTCTGTGTGTGCAGTTTTGGTGCGTCTGAACTGAGAAGTCAGAATTTCTGAGGCTCCAGTCAGAAGTTTCAACTGAAACGTCCTAAAGTCGGATTTCCTACACGGAAAGTGGAAAGAACCTCACCAGACCCCGACCTCAAACTCCAAGATGGCTGCTCTGTGCATCAACAGAACTGAAAGCTGTAGTAATTTACAGTTTAGTAGCACTTCTGTCTTATTTCTGTCTCATTAAAACAGTTATGCACATAGTACTGTCCGACTTCTATCAGTGGACATACGGTGTTTGCATTCACAAAACATCGCGTGATGCGTTGATATAAACTGGTGTTGCTAACAATGACAACAACAAGCAACAACAACAATAACAAGCTTCTGACTTGAACTGGAACACAGTCCACTCAGGTGTACCGTCATTCCCAGCTCCCTCATCCGACTTCCACAGTACATGGAAGGCAGCATGACATGACCCGCCTCTCTCCGGCTTACAAGCTATGTCCTCCATTCACATACCTGTTTTGACAAATACGCCTACTCACTATCTCAACTGACATGCCCTCATGGTAAAGTAACCAATGAGAGAAGTCACCTCTTAAGAAATACTCTGAGAACCATCTGAAAAGTTATCACTGTTTACTACTGTTGGAGTGGCTGTGGGTATTTCTGATTCCGTGGTTGAATACAAATTCAGGAAATACACTTTTTATTTTTAAATTAACAATGTCCCTGCTGTGTTTGGTGTCTGTACAAATGTGCGTATCAAATGAGTTGAACGGGAGAGATACACACTGTTAATGATTGGAAACACTTAAAAACACTCACTGTGGACAGGCCTTTACTACTACATAGTAAATTAGTGAACTCCTGCCACTGTTTCTAATTCTCATTGATACACTGTTTCTATTTGACAAGCATTTTCAACCACACAATGACCAGTGTCTCTATCAGCACCTATAGGACTAGATCTCCATTGACCCGTCTGCTCTCTCATCCCTGATTTACATTGTCAGGCCTCTATTGAGAGTATGCAGGCTACTTCACTAGCCATTCACCTGTAGCTGAGTGTTGACAGGATACACACAGGAGCTGCAACAAAGGAGAAAATGCATCTCATGTGAGATGAGGGGTGACAACAATAGCCCTCCTGGAGAACACATGAGCTTCCTTTGCAATTCAAACACACTTGAGCAGCTCTGCATATCAACAGAGAACCAAGGAGGTGAAAGATTCGGCTGGGCTGCATTCGTTTCCTGGGAGTCCCCGCAGTTCACTGAGAGTCTGACCCGCTTCAGCTCTGTGTAATGCAAATGCTGCATCAGTCAGGCTTCAGGGTGTGGAGCAAGGGATCCTTTCCTCTCTATGGGGGAGTTAACTTTGGGGTTTCTGGCAGATAAAGATTAACCAAAGCTTATTTTACACACAAAGTTTAACATTTAATTAAGCAACAACATGACACTGACGCAAAACTAGATAGCTAGAAGATAAAGGGCATATTTGGTCCATGACAAAATGTTAAAGGTTCTGAGAACAAGAGAAGATAGTGCTAACATCCCCACATTTCACAATTAGTCATATAGATACAAAGATATTTCAGGGAAAAATTCATCTTGAAACACAAGCAGTGGTTTTAAAAATATTATTGGTATATTTACATTTCTGGGATTATTATTTTGTTATTGGGAGTTATAGTTTCCTTATTTTAATGCATGACTTTCCTGTTGCACACAACATGATATCACATTGTATTGGGAGATGATATATAGCTGCATTTCCACCACAGGAACCAGGAACCTTTTGGGGAACTATGTGCGTTTCGACCGCAGGAACGAGGGTCTAAATTTAGTTCCAGGGTTATTGATCGATCACCAAAAAAATACCTGGTCCAGGGGGTAGTACTTTCCAAAGGTTCAGGAACTTTGGGTGGTGTGGTCTGCAGTGCTAAACATTTCTGACTGGTCGAGTACTCACTGCATTTTATTTCACCCGCGATGTTTAAAAGTCTGCAGCGAGCGAGCAAACACATTTCCCACGCGCCAAAACAGGTCAGGGAGAAGGTAAAAAAGCTGAAACAGGACTTCAAAATAATAAAGTATCACAACGACCGGAGTGGCTAGGGTTGCCACCAATCACGTATAATTGTTTTTGGTCACAACG